GAGCGACAGGTCGGTTGTATACTCCAAGTGGTACCACTGGTAGCGGTGGTAACCACGTGTAACCCAGCGATTGGTTCCTCTTGCAATGGTAGTAGCAAGTGTGTCCTGGGTCGACTCTCCAATGTGTTTTGACAGCTCAGTCTGCGCGCTTACTTCTGGCGCGTAACGCCGTGCAATGGAATGAGGTGACTTTTGAGTCGACTCAAAAGTCACTCTGTGTTGTGACAACTCATTGTGCCCTCTCGTGGGAATTCTCAAAGGCGCGTAACGCCGTGCAAAGGAACGACAGACAGACAGACGTGTGGTGACCGCTCTTGTTAACTAACGGCACACGAGTACGTCTGTTTACAGCATTCACCCACTGCACTGAGCGTCCCCCCTCTCTCCTTTGAGGCGCCTCAAAAGTGGTGACTGCTCCTGTTCACTAACGGTACACGAGTGCGCCTGCTTACAGCATTCACCCCCTGCGCACCCCCCCCCTCTCGCCACCTTACCTATTGTCGCGTGCCCCACGCGTAATGCCACTGCTTACGTGGCCAAGCAGAAGAAGGCTCATCGAAGCCTGCTGCGCCAGTTAGAGCCTCCTTCTTCCCCACCTTTCACCCACCTTTCCGTACCTTTCACCCACCTTTCCCCACCTTTCCCCACCTTTTCCCACGTCCTCTTCCCCATCTTTTTCACCGGAACACCCCTCGTCCCAGGTACCACCTGCGCCAAGCCCACCGCCACTGTCTATGTGGCTCAGGGGGGCGTCCTCACACCCTGCTGCGGCCAGAGCCCTCAGCAGCCATGCGGTGAGTGCGACTAAGCCCAGGCAAAGTTCTATAGCCGACTCAAAACTCACTGTCTACGTTGTCGAGGGGGGCGTCCTCACACCGTGCTGCAACCAGAGCCCCCAGCAGCCATGCGGTGAGCCTCAGCAGCCATGCGGCGAGCCTCAGCCCCGGAAGTGGCCTTAACTCGACTTAGAAGAGAATAGGGCGAGGTAGGACCGTTGGATCCGAGTCGAAACTATCCTTTTATGCTCGTTGCGAATTTTTAGAGCCAAGTCATTCCATTGGCGCACTGAGAGGTTATTTAGAATCTTCACAAATCTCTCACAAACACATTGACTAGCACTCATTGCCTCACTGCGAGGCTTTTCAGGAGCTAAGGCCATCCCATTTTCATTGAATCAGCGCTCGCAGCAGCTTTCGCTTCTCTCGTTGCCACTAGGCAGATGAGAGAGAAGGAATCACTTTCTCTCTTCTCTCTTCCCTCTCTACTCTCGCTCTCTTATATCTCCACACCCCCCTCCCCTGTCCACCACACAGGTTCCCTGCAAGCCGCCCTGAACAGGTAAATACCCCATCGTTTTCCCACTCCACTTCACACTCCACACCACTCCACTCCACTCCACTCTACTCATTCTGAACACTTCGTTGATTCTCAACACCATCAGTTTTCGCACTGGTCTCCAACAAATCCCTGAACGAGCCGCCTTTCCCCTGCATGCCTCCGTCCACTGCCTGCTTTGAAGCCGCCATGCCATTTGCCAAGTTGTTTCATACCAACGAAACGATTCAAAGGAGACAGGGGACTGATTTGCCTGTCAAGTAAAATTTCCAACGTCCCACAACTGTGCTGGCGAAGTGAAAGCAAAACCGCCTATAATCTCCCCACCTACAGGCTGCACCCATAAGAATTGCTGCGAATGTGCTTCATTGTTCATCTCCCCACCTACCCCCTGCTTTCCCCCACACAGTGCGTCAGATGGGGCCACCATCCACACAGTGCGTCAGATGGGGCCACCATCCACATCGCATCAGGCACCCACTCGCCCTCCTCCCCTTCGCCTCTCCTCCTGCCCCACCTCCGCCAATCCATTCCATACTCACAACCCCCCCCCCTCTCTTCCACCTCCACCCTGCCCGCATTGACTGCCCCCAGGGCCACGGCTTCCAAGCTCCGTGCTCTGCCCGTCCCTTGTCCCTGCTGCTGCTCTCCCCTTTCTTCCCTTCTCACCCTAACCATCCTTTCACCCCCTTTCCACTCACCCGCCCCCAACAGCGCTGCAGAAGGAGCCACCATCCACGTCGCATCAGGCACCTATACACACTCCTCCCCGGCGCCTCTCCTCCTGCCCCACCTCCGCCTCTCCATCCTCGGTCCCCCCCTCCACCTCCCCCCTGCCACTATCGACTGCTCCCATGGCCCCTGCTTCCAAGCGCTCTGCCCCGGTACCTCTCCTCCCTCCTCCGTTTCGTCCCCACCCTCCCGTTTGACTGCCGTTGAACCGCCTGTTGCTGCTGGCACTGGTGATGCTGTAGCGACGGCTGTAGCAGCGGTTGTAGCAACAACGGCTGTAGCGACGGCTACAGCAGCAGAACCAGCGGCAGAAGCAGCAGCAGGAGCGGCGGCAGCAGCAGTGCCGGTCCGTGGGGAGGCAGCGTGCAGCAGCTCTCTGGTAACCATCTCGCGGGTGCACGTGGTGAATGGGCGGAGCAAGAGCAAGGGCGGGTGCATGCTCTTCCAAGGAGTCTCCGTGGCACTGAGGTGAGTGAGATGAGAAGGGTGCTGGGATGAATGCTGAGCTTGGTGCGGTGTGGAGTGGAAAGCAAAAGCAGCAACAGCGTGCAGCCAGCCGCGTGCAGCAGCTCTCTGGTAACCATCTCGCGGCTTCAGGTGGTGAATGGGCGGAGCAACGGCAAGGGCGGCTGCATGCTCTTCGAAGGGGTCGGGTCACCATGGCACTGAGGTGAGAGACACGAGATAAAAAGCTGCTGCCCCTTGGTGGGTTGAGATTAGATGGATGCGTTGTGGTATGTGAGACGTGGATTGCAGTGCTGTGCGGTACAGTGCAGTGCAGTGCAGTGCAGTGCAGTCCACTTGTAATAGGAGATGCTGTCAATTTACCTCAATCCATTCTTCCTTGTAGCGACTTGCAACCCCTCTCCTCTTGCCACACTTCCCCTTCCTTCTCCCCCTCCCGCTTTCTCCCTTTCCCCTCTTCCTTTTCCCTGTCCCTCTTCCCCCACTCTCTCCTTCCACGTCTCGCGTTCTCCTCTCTTTCCCCCCCAACCCACCAGTAGTCTCACCCTTTCCATCTGCATCCCTGTCGAGCCGTCTCATCCCCTGCCCACCCCCCCCCCCCCCCTTTCTTCTCCCCTAATTCTCTCCCCTCGTTATCCCACCAGCGACCTCACCCTCTCCAACTGCCATGCCTCCGAGTCAGGAGGCGGGATCCACATCAGCAGCGCACCACAGCCAGTCACAATGCGCCACGTCACCATCCAAAACTGCTCGGTCTCCTTGCATGCACCTTCCTCCAACAAGACCGTCTCTTCATTTCGTTCATCTGCCGGATTTCGAGCATTATCTGAACCTTCTACCGACCGGTTCTCTGCATCTTCATTAGAAGCAACCCCAGCCACTGCAGCCGCGAAGGGATCAGCAGAAGGAAATGCAGCCAGGTCAGCAGCAGCGGCAGCAGCAGCAAGATCAGCAGCAGCAATGGCTGTGGTTGCAGCAAGAGTCGCAGCGGTGAAATCAGCAGCGAAAACTGCAGCCGCCGCTGCAACTGCAGCCGCAGCAACAGCAACGGCAACATCAGCAGCACCAGGCGCTGATGCAGCAGCAGCAACAGATGCGGCAGCTAATGCCCCTATCCGACAAACCGGGGGAGGGTTGGCCCTGTACCACTCTACAGCTGCTGCCACCGGCCTTATCATCTCCGGCTGTAGCGCCCTCGGAGGAATCACAACAAGAGGCGGCGGCCTCTTTGTGCTTGAATCGAGTGTGCTTATAAGCGATGCGAGAATAGAGGACTGTTACACTCGTTTGGATCCGGCGGCTGCTGCGGGGGGTAGTGGTGGTGGATCGACGGATGGATGGGTGCCGGGGATGGAAGGGGGAGGGGACGTGGCGGGGAAGGGAGGGTGTATGGCGAGTGAGAGTTCGAATCTCACGATCGAATTCTCCGTGTTCCAAGGGGGCTTGGTACGTAGGTTACTAGGATGGTGCGGGGGATAAGGGGATGCTTGTTGGGGAAGGGAGGGTGCATGGCAAGTGAGTGTGGGGGATAAAGGGGCTTGGATATGCATGAGGGTGCATGGCAAGTGAGTGAGGCATCGAATGTTACCATCCGGTTCTCCTTGTTCCACGGTGGCTTGGTGCGTGTGTGGGTAGGATGCGTGGTGGGGGATAAAGGGGCTTGGATCATGCATGAGGGTGCATGGCGAGTGAGAGGTTGAATGTTACCATCAACTTCTCCTTGTTTCGAGGGGGCTTGGTGTGTGCGTGGGTAAGATGTGTGGTGTGGGATAAGGGTGCTTGGTGTGCGGATGAGGGTGCTTGGTGTGCGGATGAGGGTGCTTGGTGTGCGGATAAGGGTGCTTGGTGTGGGATGAGGGTGCTTGGTGTGCGGACGAGGGTGCATTTGGCAAATGAGAGATCGAATTCTACCATCTGCCCACCAAGGGGGCAAGGGGGTTCATTTTCCAACCAAGGAGGTTCATTTTCCAACCAAGGGGGTTCATTTTCCAACCAAGGGGGTTCATTTTCCAACCAAGGGGGTTCATTTTCCAACCAAGGGGGTTCATTTTCCAACCAAGGGGGTTCATTTTCCAACCAAGGGGGTTCATTTTCCAACCAAGGGGGTTGTAGTCCTTGTGGAATGAGGGGGTTGTAGTCCTTGTGGAATGAGGGGGTTGTAGTCCTTGTGGAATGAGGGGGTTGTAGTCCTTGTGGAATGAGGGGGTTGTAGTCCTTGTGGAAAATGACTTTTGAGACGTGCGGCAACGAGAGTCACCTCTTGTAGTTCTAGTGGAAAAGGTTGACTCAGTAGTAGCACCATGTCTCCGCCGCCCTCCTTACCCCCCCTCACACTCAATGGTTGCATTGGGGGTTGTGTGCAGCTCAATCACTCACTCCCCCACTCTCCCCTCCGCCCTTTCCTCCCTCTCCCTCCCTCTCCCTCCCCTCCCCTCTCCCCTCCCCTCCCCTCCAGTCGTCAAGTGGCGATGCAATATCCAACTACATGTCCACGTTCGACGTATCTTACATGGCCTTCCCTCCCCTTCCCGCCCACCTCACCCCACCCGTTACCTCCCCTCCACCAGTCATCAGGCGGCGGGGCAATATCCGACTACATGTCCACATTCAACGTATCTCACACAGCCTTCCTCAACTCGTCCGTGGTCTACCAGCCCGCCGATTTCATGTCGGGCACGGGGGGATGCGTGCACCTCAACACCACTGCTGCCGCGTCCTTTGCTCACTGCCGCTTCGCGCACTGCTCCTCTTCTATCACCGGTGGCGGGGTGTCATTCTTTCAAGGGGAAGTCAAGCCGCAGTTTCACAACACCACGTTCGAGTTCAACGAGGCTCTCATCCAGGTCGGTTGGATGGGTTGTGAGGTGTTTCATACGGTGGGCTGGCTGGATGAGGCCTCCTTTGCTCTCTCCCCCACCCGCACATGCCTCATCTCTTCTCGTCTCTGCTCCTCTATTCTCCTGTGCTTCCTCCCCCCGTGCCAACAGGGAGGGGGCATAGAGCTGGTGATGATGAGCGGCCTGGCGAACGTCACAGACTGCACGTTCCGCAGCAACCGGGTCACCAACGGGCCCAGCTTCGGCGCCGCAATCCTCTCCTTCGGCGTGCCGATGCGCGTGGAGAGGAGCTACTTGTGGCGCAACGTGGCTGTCAACACGCTGCCTCCGGGGTCGCAGGCAGCCACGTACCTCACTCAGGGGGGGGCCATTGCAGCGAACATGTTCATGGACGCTACAGTGCCTTATGACATCATCGACTGCACCTTTATTGAGAACCAGGTGGGTGTGAGAGTGAGACTACCATGTAGGTGTGGCGGTGCAGGCCAACACGTACCTGACCTCACTCACTCAGGGGGGGGCCATTGCAGCGAACATGTTCATGGACGCTACTGTGCCTTATGACATCATCGACTGCACCTTTATTGAGAACCAGGTGGGTGTGAGAGTGAGACTACCATGTAGATGTGGCGGTGCAGGCCAACACGTACCTGACCTCACTCACTCAGGGGGGGGCCATTGCAGCGAACATGTTCATCGACGCTACAGTGCCTTATGACATCATCGACTGCACCTTTATTGAGAACCAGGTGGGTGTGAGAGTGAGACTACCATGTAGGTGTGGCGGTGCAGGCCAACACGTACCTGACCTCACTCACTCAGGGGGGGGCCATTGCAGCGAACATGTTCATCGACGCTACTGTGCCTTATGACATCATCGACTGCACCTTTATTGAGAACCAGGTGGGTGTGAGAGTGAGACTACCATGTAGATGTGGCGGTGCAGGCCAACACGTACCTGACCTCACTCACTCAGGGGGGGGCCATTGCAGCGAACATGTTCATCGACGCTACAGTGCCTTATGACATCATCGACTGCACCTTTATTGAGAACCAGGTGGGTGTGAGAGTGAGACTACCATGTAGATGTGGCGGTGCAGGCCAACACGTACCTGACCTCACTCACTCAGGGGGGGGCCATTGCAGCGAACATGTTCATCGACGCTACTGTGCCTTATGACATCATCGACTGCACCTTTATTGAGAACCAGGTGGGTGTGAGAGTGAGACTACCATGTAGATGTGGCGGTGCAGGCCAACACGTACCTGACCTCACTCACTCAGGGGGGGGCCATTGCAGCGAACATGTTCATCGACGCTACTGTGCCTTATGACATCATCGACTGCACCTTTATTGAGAACCAGGTGGGTGTGAGAGTGAGACTACCATGTAGATGTGGCGGTGCAGGCCAACACGTACCTGACCTCACTCACTCAGGGGGGGGCCATTGCAGCGAACATGTTCATCGACGCTACAGTGCCTTATGACATCATCGACTGCACCTTTATTGAGAACCAGGTGGGTGTGAGAGTGAGACTACCATGTAGATGTGGCGGTGCAGGCCAACACGTACCTGACCTCACTCACTCAGGGGGGGGCCATTGCAGCGAACATGTTCATCGACGCTACTGTGCCTTATGACATCATCGACTGCACCTTTATTGAGAACCAGGTGGGTGTGAGAGTGAGACTACCATGTAGATGTGGCGGTGCAGGCCAACACGTACCTGACCTCACTCACTCAGGGGGGGGCCATTGCAGCGAACATGTTCATGGACGCTACAGTGCCTTATGACATCATCGACTGCACCTTTATTGAGAACCAGGTGGGTGTGAGAGTGAGACTACCATGTAGGTGTGGCGGTGCAGGCCAACACGTACCTGACCTCACTCACTCAGGGGGGGGCCATTGCAGCGAACATGTTCATCGACGCTACTGTGCCTTATGACATCATCGACTGCACCTTTATTGAGAACCAGGTGGGTGTGAGAGTGAGACTACCATGTAGATGTGGCGGTGCAGGCCAACACGTACCTGACCTCACTCACTCAGGGGGGGGCCATTGCAGCGAACATGTTCATCGACGCTACAGTGCCTTATGACATCATCGACTGCACCTTTATTGAGAACCAGGTGGGTGTGAGAGTGAGACTACCATGTAGATGTGGCGGTGCAGGCCAACACGTACCTGACCTCACTCACTCAGGGGGGGGCCATTGCAGCGAACATGTTCATCGACGCTACTGTGCCTTATGACATCATCGACTGCACCTTTATTGAGAACCAGGTGGGTGTGAGAGTGAGACTACCATGTAGATGTGGCGGTGCAGGCCAACACGTACCTGACCTCACTCACTCAGGGGGGGGCCATTGCAGCGAACATGTTCATCGACGCTACTGTGCCTTATGACATCATCGACTGCACCTTTATTGAGAACCAGGTGGGTGTGAGAGTGAGACTACCATGTAGATGTGGCGGTGCAGGCCAACACGTACCTGACCTCACTCACTCAGGGGGGGGCCATTGCAGCGAACATGTTCATCGACGCTACAGTGCCTTATGACATCATCGACTGCACCTTTATTGAGAACCAGGTGGGTGTGAGAGTGAGACTACCATGTAGATGTGGCGGTGCAGGCCAACACGTACCTGACCTCACTCACTCAGGGGGGGGCCATTGCAGCGAACATGTTCATCGACGCTACTGTGCCTTATGACATCATCGACTGCACCTTTATTGAGAACCAGGTGGGTGTGAGAGTGAGACTACCATGTAGATGTGGCGGTGCAGGCCAACACGTACCTGACCTCACTCACTCAGGGGGGGGCCATTGCAGCGAACATGTTCATCGACGCTACAGTGCCTTATGACATCATCGACTGCACCTTTATTGAGAACCAGGTGGGTGTGAGAGTGAGACTACCATGTAGATGTGGCGGTGCAGGCCAACACGTACCTGACCTCACTCACTCAGGGGGGGGCCATTGCAGCGAACATGTTCATGGACGCTACAGTGCCTTATGACATCATCGACTGCACCTTTATTGAGAACCAGGTGGGTGTGAGAGTGAGACTACCATGTAGATGTGGCGGTGCAGGCCAACACGTACCTGACCTCACTCACTCAGGGGGGGGCCATTGCAGCGAACATGTTCATGGACGCTACAGTGCCTTATGACATCATCGACTGCACCTTTATTGAGAACCAGGTGGGTGTGAGAGTGAGACTACCATGTAGGTGTGGCGGTGCAGGCCAACACGTACCTGACCTCACTCACTCAGGGGGGGGCCATTGCAGCGAACATGTTCATCGACGCTACTGTGCCTTATGACATCATCGACTGCACCTTTATTGAGAACCAGGTGGGTGTGAGAGTGAGACTACCATGTAGATGTGGCGGTGCAGGCCAACACGTACCTGACCTCACTCACTCAGGGGGGGGCCATTGCAGCGAACATGTTCATCGACGCTACAGTGCCTTATGACATCATCGACTGCACCTTTATTGAGAACCAGGTGGGTGTGAGAGTGAGACTACCATGTAGATGTGGCGGTGCAGGCCAACACGTACCTGACCTCACTCACTCAGGGGGGGGCCATTGCAGCGAACATGTTCATCGACGCTACTGTGCCTTATGACATCATCGACTGCACCTTTATTGAGAACCAGGTGGGTGTGAGAGTGAGACTACCATGTAGATGTGGCGGTGCAGGCCAACACGTACCTGACCTCACTCACTCAGGGGGGGGCCATTGCAGCGAACATGTTCATCGACGCTACTGTGCCTTATGACATCATCGACTGCACCTTTATTGAGAACCAGGTGGGTGTGAGAGTGAGACTACCATGTAGATGTGGCGGTGCAGGCCAACACGTACCTGACCTCACTCACTCAGGGGGGGGCCATTGCAGCGAACATGTTCATCGACGCTACAGTGCCTTATGACATCATCGACTGCACCTTTATTGAGAACCAGGTGGGTGTGAGAGTGAGACTACCATGTAGATGTGGCGGTGCAGGCCAACACGTACCTGACCTCACTCACTCAGGGGGGGGCCATTGCAGCGAACATGTTCATCGACGCTACTGTGCCTTATGACATCATCGACTGCACCTTTATTGAGAACCAGGTGGGTGTGAGAGTGAGACTACCATGTAGATGTGGCGGTGCAGGCCAACACGTACCTGACCTCACTCACTCAGGGGGGGGCCATTGCAGCGAACATGTTCATCGACGCTACAGTGCCTTATGACATCATCGACTGCACCTTTATTGAGAACCAGGTGGGTGTGAGAGTGAGACTACCATGTAGATGTGGCGGTGCAGGCCAACACGTACCTGACCTCACTCACTCAGGGGGGGGCCATTGCAGCGAACATGTTCATGGACGCTACAGTGCCTTATGACATCATCGACTGCACCTTTATTGAGAACCAGGTGGGTGTGAGAGTGAGACTACCATGTAGATGTGGCGGTGCAGGCCAACACGTACCTGACCTCACTCACTCATGGGGGGGCCATTGCAGCGAACATGTTCATCGACGCTACTGTGCCTTATGACATCATCGACTGCACCTTTATTGAGAACCAGGTGGGTGTGAGAGTGAGACTACCATGTAGATGTGGCGGTGCAGGCCAACACGTACCTGACCTCACTCACTCAGGGGGGGGCCATTGCAGCGAACATGTTCATCGACGCTACAGTGCCTTATGACATCATCGACTGCACCTTTATTGAGAACCAGGTGGGTGTGAGAGTGAGACTACCATGTAGATGTGGCGGTGCAGGCCAACACGTACCTGACCTCACGCACTCAGGGGGGGGCCATTGCAGCGAACATGTTCATCGACGCTACAGTGCCTTATGACATCATCGACTGCACCTTTATTGAGAACCAGGTGGGTGTGAGAGTGAGACTACCATGTAGATGTGGCGGTGCAGGCCAACACGTACCTGACCTCACTCACTCAGGGGGGGGCCATTGCAGCGAACATGTTCATCGACGCTACTGTGCCTTATGACATCATCGACTGCACCTTTATTGAGAACCAGGTGGGTGTGAGAGTGAGACTACCATGTAGATGTGGCGGTGCAGGCCAACACGTACCTGACCTCACTCACTCAGGGGGGGGGCATTGCAGCGAACATGTTCATCGACGCTACAGTGCCTTATGACATCATCGACTGCACGTGTGTTGAGATTCAGGTGCGTGAAAGAAAGAGACGAGCGTGTGGGCATGGGGTGTGTGTGTGTGCGTGTGAGTGTGTGGGGGGTGTGTGTGTGCGTGTGAGTGTGTGGGGGGTGTGTGTGTGCGTGTGAGTGTGTGGGGGGTTTGTGTGTGCGTGTGAGTGTGTGGGGGGTGTGTGTGTGCGTGTGAGTGTGTGGGGGGTGTGTATGTGCGTGTGAGTGTGTGGGGGGTGTGTGTGTGCGTGTGAGGCAGCCACATACCTCACTCAGGGGGGAGCGATCGCTGCGAGTATGTTCATGGACGGTATGGTGGCTTATGACATCATTGACAGCACCTTCATAGAGAACCAGGTGGGTGGTGAGAGAGAGCGTATAACATGTGGACGTGCGGGCATGCGAGCGTGTAGGCTTGTGGGCCTGTGAGCATGCATTTTCCACTGCTCCCGCTCCTTTCCTCATTTGCCACACCACTCTAATCAACATGGGCAAGGCGGCGCCCTGCTTGTGCATTCGAGGCATCTGAGATTTGTTGGTTTCGGCCAATGAAGGCCTTTATCAGCGCACTGTTCGGATCTCCACCGCTCTACTCAAGATGGGCAAGGCGGCGCCTTGTTTGTGGATACGAGGCATGTGCGACTGCAACTGCTCACCTGCCTATGTGTTCCCTGTGGCTCTTTGTTTGTGAGTCGACTCAAAAACAGATTTGTCACACCTCTCCACTCAGGATGGGCGAGGCGGCGCCTTGTTTAGGGATACGAGGCATCTGCTCAGCAGGCGGGGCTCAACAGGCTCTGTATGCGGACACGGGGCATCTGCAAGTGCTCAACTGTCTTCTCCTCCTCTTTGCCTTGCCTGTGTATTCACACTGCTCCCTCTCTTTCTATACTGTTTCCCACTCTACGCAGGGCGGGCAAGGCGGGGCATTGTATGCGGACATGGGGCATCTGCAAGTGGTCAACTGCCTCTTTCTATCCCCTCTCCTCCCCTTTGCTTCCCTGTTCCTGCTGCCACGCAGGGCGGGCAAGGCGGGGCATTGTACGTGGACACGGGGCATCTGCAAGTGCTCAACTGCCTCTTTCTCCGCAACGGAGACCACTCTGAATGCTCCCTGGGTGGCGCTAGTGAGTCCCACCCACTCCCCTGCCAGCCAGTGTGTTGCTAGTGAGGGGTCCTGGGTAGTGGGTTGCAGCCCTGCTGGGGTGGTGCTGGTAAGTTTCAGCCCTTCTGGCCTCCATGTAGTGAGTGAGGCTCTGGTGACTCACCACACAACTCCTCTCTCCCTCCCCGCTGGTACCAGTGAGTCATCTCCGTGCTAGTGTTGGTATCGAGTGAGAACTCAACTGTCTCTTCCCTCGCAGCGGAGACCACTCCGAATGCTCCCTGGGTGGTGCCATGGAGCTACAATCCTGCTGCACGTTGAGTCGACTCAAAACATACCTGCGCTGCACACCCCTTCCTTGTCCACGCCCCAACATACAACATCCCCTTCCTTCATATTTCCTACAACATACATAGGCTAGAAGTGTAGCACGTTTATAAATTGGGGGGTTGCTTAGTGTACCCTCCAACCACATTTTGTGGTTGGTTGGGATTGGTCCTTAGCTCAACCAATCCCAACCAACACACATTTGTGGTTGCTTGAGTCACAAGCAAACTCACCCATTGGCCAACTTATTGGCCAATAGGGTAAGCTTCCCTCTCATCTCTCTCTTGCTCATTGTTTGTACTAAAGAGCCTCTTGGCTCATTATTCAATGTATCAATTCTAGCTTTCCAACACTCCCCCTCGCGCCCCTACGTGCAGTGACATCGCGAGCACGAACGGTAGTAGACAACTGCACGTTTTTGGACAATAAAGCACAAGACCAGGGCGGAGCGCTGCACTTCCTGCCTTACGAAACCCTCAACGTCTCTCGCTCGCGCTTCCAAGGAAACTCCGTGCTCAAGCAGAACGGCGGGGCTATTCACGTGCTCGGGGTGAGTTGTGAGCTGGTAGGTAATGGAGCAAGAGGCGATTCGTGAGTTAAGAGTGCAGTTAAACAGTGTCTACCTCTCCCTCTTTTGAGACGTCTCATAAGCCCTCCCCCTCGTGCTTCTAAGGGAGCTCCGTGGTCTACGGGAATGGCGGGGCTATTCACATGCTCGGGGTGAGTTGTTGTGATTGTTGTTAACGTGTGTGAGGTGAGTTGAGGGTTGCACGTAGGAGAGGCTATCAGGCTAATTCACATGCTCGGGCTATCAGCACTTCATGCCGTGCGAGCGCCTCTCCCCGTTTTGAGTCGACTCAAAAATGTGTGAGGTGAGTTGAGGGTTGTACGTAGGTGAGCCTCAGGCTATCAGCACTTCATGCCGTGCGAGTGCCTCTCCTCTCCATCTCGCTTCCAAGGAGACTCGGTGGCTTCTTGCTTGCATACCTGCATGCTCCCTTGTGGTTGAGATTAGTTGGTTTCGAATTGCAGCAAGCCTACTAAGAGTAGCAATCTATAGTACTCAGCCTACTGTAATAGCAATCTCGGTGGCTTCTTGCACACCTGCACGCTCTCTTGCACACCTGCACGCTCTCTTGCACACCTGCACGCTCTCTTGCACACCTGAGATGCATCAGTGTTCACTTGCACGCATTTGCACTCACTTTCACCCACTCCCTCACCCCTGCAGGGCATGGGGGCGGTGAGAGTGGAGAGCAGCACATTTGTGAGAAGCAGGGCAGAGTGGTCCAAGTGAAGCGCCCTGTACAGTGAGCGAGACTTGAGATGCCTCAAGCTTAACCCTTCACTCCCACCCACTCCCTCATACCTACAGGGCACAGGGGCGGTGACAGTGGAGAGTAGCACATTCATGAGAAGCAGGGCAGAGCGGTCCAAGTGAAGCGCCCTGTATAGCGAGTCTCAAGATGTCTCAATGTTCATTTCTGCACTCCCACGCATCTGCACTCACTTTCACCCACTCCCTCACCCCTGCAGGACACGGGGGCGGTGCGGGTAGAGAGCAGCAGATTCGTGGGCAACAGGGCAGAGCGGTCCAAGGGAGGCACTTTGTACAGCGAATCTCAAGATGTCTTGATGCTCATTTTTGCACTCCCACACATTTGCACTCACTTTCACACACTCGTGCGCACTCGCACTCACCTACAGGGCACGGGGGCGGTGAGGTGAGGGTGGAGAGCAGCACATTCGTGGGCAACAGGGCGGAGAGGTCCAAGGGAGGCGCCCTGTACAGCGAGCAAGTCTTGCCCAAGCGATGCCTCAATGCTCATCCCTTCGCTCCTTCTTACTCCCTCACTCCTGCAGGGCACGGGGGCGGTGCGGGTAGAGAGCAGCACATTCGTGGGCAACAGGGCAGAGCGGTCCAAGGGAGGCGCCCTGTACAGCGAGTCGGTGTCTGTCACCTTCGATAATGTCACTCTGGACGGGAACACGGCGGCACTGCAGGGAGGCGCGGTGGCTGGTGAGTGGATGCACGGTAGTGCTTTATGGCAAGTATCTCAAGCGTCTGGTCTTATTTTGGATGCCAACATGGCGCCGATGGCGCTGCAGGGAGGAGCGGCGCGGTGGCAGGTGAGTGAATGCACGGCGCCACGTGACGACACTTGAGTGAATGCACGGCGCCACGTGACGACACTTGAGTGAATGCACGGCGCCACGTGACGACACTTGAGTGAATGCACGGCGCCACGTGACGACACTTGAGTGAATGCATACATGCCAAGGATGTATGGTCAGTGAGTGAGCAAGACTGATGATAGACAGGCGACTCGAGAGTCTGATCTCGTTTCAGCCCGTGCCCTTTCCTTCTCCACATTGCACTCCCCTCCTCCCCCATGCAGTCTATGCCTCTCTCCCCTCCTCCCCCATGCAGTCTATGCCTCTCTCCCCTCCTCCCCCATGCAGTCTATGCCTCTCTCCCCTCCTCCCCCATGCAGTCTATGCCTCTCTCCCCTCCTCCCCCATGCAGTCTATGCCTCTCTCCCCTCCTCCCCCATGCAGTCTATGCCTCTCTCCCCTCCTCCCCCATGCAGTCTATGCCTCTCTCCCCTCCTCCCCCATGCAGTCTATGCCTCTCTCCCCTCCTCCCCCAAGCAGTCTATGCCTCTCTCCCCTCCTCCCCCATGCAGTCTATGCCTCTCTCCCCTCCTCCCCCATGCAGTCTATGCCTCTCTCCCCTCCTCCCCCAAGCAGTCTATGCCTCTCTCCCCTCCTCCCCCATGCAGTCTATGCCTCTCTCCCCTCCTCCCCCATGCAGTCTATGCATCCAGCAGCGACAGCCTGCATACAGAAGCGCTCTTCAAAGCATGCTGCTTCGAGTTTTTTGAGACGTCTCAAAACTTTCCCACACATTCCCCCTCTCCCCTCCTCCCCCGTTCCAGTCTATGCATCCAGCAGTGACGGCTTGCCAACCGAAGCACTCTTCAAGTCATGCCGCTTCGTGCGCAACGAGGCGGTGCTTGGGGGAGGTGCTATCTACACGGGGCTGGGCATGCACACGCGCGTGCACGCGTGTGAGGTGGAGGAAAACAACAGCACGGGGCTGGGCGGTGCTGTGCTCGTGCAGGAGTTTTCCCGGGTTGAGATGACTCGCACGCGCTGTCATGGGAACATGTGAGTGGGATGAGGCGATTCGGTTAGCATGTGATGCGAGTCTGATGATCTGATCTGATATACAGAAGCATGGGGTTGGGCATGTGCAATGCAACGAGGCAGTACTTGGGGGAGGTGACAACAGCACGGGGCTGGGCTGGGCGGCGCTGTGCTCGTGCAGGAGTTCTCCCGGGTTGAGATGACTCGCACACGGTGCCAAGGGAACATGTGAGTGAGCTGACATGTCATGTAATGGAGATGACACAGGGGCATGAGATGAGAGTGAGATGACAAGACATGAGAGTCTGAGATGGGATCGTGGCATGTGAGGATGCATGAAACAGAGTGTTTCTTTTCATTCTGAGAGCGCCTCTGTCTTTCCTCTCTCTCATCCCCCCATTTTCCCTCACAGCCCTGACTGGCTGTGCCTGCCTCTCCCTCCTCGCCAACGCCCATGCCACAGTCACCGACTCAGTCCTTCAAGCCAACCACCATGGCACCTGTGAAGGGGGGGGGCACCGCTGTCTTTGCCGAACAATCGGCAACTTTATTTTATACTTCTACTGCTCACCCTCCCATCTCCCTCTAGAGCTTTGACAGGTGGCACCTGCCTCTCCCTCCTCGCCAACGCCCATGCCACAGTCACCGACTCAGTCCTTCAAGCCAACCACCACGGCACCTGTGAAGGGGGGGGGCACCGCTGTCTTTGCCGAACAATCGGCAACTTTATTTTATACTTCTACTGCTCACCCTCCCATCTCCCTCTAGAGCTTTGACAGGTGGCGCCTGCCTCTCCCTCCTCGCCAACGCACACGCCACGGTCACCAACTCAATCCTTTCAGCCAACCAGGGCACCAGCGAGGGGGGAGCAGCGCGTGTCAGCGGCAGCGCGCACCTCTCCCTCCTCTCCTCCTCCATCCTCCAAAACACCGCAGCCTGGGGCGGCGCCGTCTGGGTGGAAATGGGCGCTTCTTTGCTCATCTCAAACAACTCAAAGCTGGAAGGGAACGAGGCGAGGTATCTGGGCGGGACGGTGTATGCGACGCACGTGTCCCGGGTGGAAGTGCAAGGCGGGAGTGTGTTTCGGGGAAACTCGGCCCTGCATGGAGGTGCTATGGTTGTAGAGGCAGAGGCGAGAGTCACAGCAGCCGATTCTACGTTTGAAAACAACACCTTTTCAGGGATTTTATTCCAAGGGTTTTCCCAGGGGGTTCTGCGGAACTGTAGCTTCATGCGGAATTCCAACGCGGCTGGGCGGGGTGGCGCGGTGCTGGTTGGAGACAAGACGACCGTCGCCGTCCACTCTTGCAGCTTTTCCGGGAACTGGGCGGCGCTGGGTGGCGCGGTGAGCACCGAAGGCAGCCCGTACCTCACAATCAACGGCTCAGATTTCACGAGGAACATCGCGCAGATCGGCGCAGGGGTTGCCCTAGCAGGCGCCACCGCTTTCACCATGGGAGAGTCTGTGTTTACTAAGAATAATGCGACTAAGGCGGGAGGGGGAGTGGCTGTACTGGAGCAGGTGGAGGGGGAGATCTCAGGGTCGAGATTTGAGGGGAACTATGCGGTGGTGGGCGGTGCAGGGGTGTACTTGATGCGATCTGCTGCTGCTACTGCTGCAGCAGCAGGTGGTAACAGGCCTCCTAGGGTTGGTGCTTCTGCATCTGCTCCTGGTCGAGCTAAGAGTGCCAGAGGGCGGATTGCGCTCGCCAGTAGTAGCAGAGACAGCAGCACCGGCGGCAGCAGCAGTAGCAGCAGCAGAGGCAGTGGTGTAGGGGCAGCAACATCTGCTGCTGCTTTTACCCCAAATGGCACCTCCACCAGTAGCACCTCCTCCTCTTCCTCGTTCTCCACCAATCAGGTGCGACTGCAAGGCCTGCTGTTTGATGGCAACAGTGCCATGGACGCCCATGGAGTGGCCTTCTTCGATGCTTCCTACAGCCCCCACCTGCGCTCCGCCTGCCAGGCCTGCCAGATGGTGCAGCAGGGGGACACGGAAGGCAGCATGCCGGCGGACTTTTATCTCAAGTGAGTGCGCTTGTGAAGAGTACATTTTGAGGCACCTCATAGAATCTTTCCCTACAGTCCGCTGCTGCAGGCTGCCTGCCATGCCAGGCCTGTCAGATGCTGCATCTGGCCTGGAGGACTCAGGGAAGCATGCCAGCTGACTTCTACCTTATTTCAGTGCGCTTCTAAAGAAAACAGTAAAGAATACACACTTTTTGAGGCACCTTCAAAACAGCTTCCTAAAGGCCCCCCCATCTGCACTCCGCCTGCCAGGCCAGCCTGTAACCCTCCTACCTCCTCCCCCCTCCCATTTCACCTTTTGATACGTGCAATGCTTCTCGCCGTGCCGCCCTCTCAACCCTCTTCCAGATGGCCTGGGGCGGCAATGTCGTCGCAGGAGACAGGTGGCAGATTCTCAGTGGTGGGCTCGGTGGGCTCCATGCTGACGGGGCTGCAGGTGGTGGTGGTGGACGAGTTTGGGAACATCGTGTCCAAGGTGAGGAAGGAAAGGCCTACACTTAGATTTGATTTATTGGTGTGAGCAGCATACAGGGATGTTGCCACATATATACAGTATGTGTAATGAATATGTAACATGCGATACAATACATATTATATTCTACATACTATTTATTATGTTATATATAGTATATGATGTATATATATATATGCATAGAGATGTCAAAGCAGGTGGTGTTGTTGCAGGCGGTGGGTGGTGGACGGGTTCCGAAGCATCCCTGCCAAGGTAAGGTAAGTAATGGGCACAATTTCACTCAAATCATTAAATGTACGGGATGGTCGCATCAGCGGGGTGCTAGGGGGCATTCTCAACACTCACCGCAACCAACCCCTCTCCTGAGTCCGCTCCTTCTACTCCCTTCGCTCCCCCTCCTCCACCCACCACCACCACGGCGACTCCGCTTTCGCCTGTGTTTTTACTGACAGCCGCATCAGTGGGTCCCTATGGGACACATCCCATTGGGACGATCCTAGAGGCATCATCACTCCCTCTCCCTCTCCCCTCCTCCTGCCCCCACCATCCCACACCATGCCACCAGGACAACTCCGCCCTGGCCCGCGTCTCCCCGGACAGTTTCATCAGCGAGCGGGTCGCTACGCGGCAGCATTCCAGGGCGGCGTTATCACAGTGGTTCACCGTACCCTCTCCAAACCCCCTCCTCCCTCCCTCGCTCTCCTACTGCCCCCACCCCACCAGGACAACTCCGCTCTGGCCCGAGTCTCCCCTGACAGCCGCATCAGTGGTTCCTTACGGGGCACCTCTCAGGGCGGCATCATCACAGTGCCGCCCATTGCCGTCCGCGTGCCCCCGGGCGGCGCGCTACAGCCGATAGCTCTCACCGTCACCGTCTCCTCCACCACCAACGCCTTCCCGGACTTCTCCCACCCCTTCAACATTTCCTTCTGCCCGGCCGGGCAGTATTTTGACGGCGAAAGCTTCAGCTGCCAGGACTGCCCCGTGGGCCACTGGTGGGTTTTGCCTTCGGCCTTTTCCCTGCAACACTAGAGTCGGTGTAGAGTGCGTGTGTGTGGGGGGTGGGGAGGGGAGGGGGGGGGGGGGGGCGGTGGGGGAGAGAAAAGGGGGAGGGGTGGTGTGTGCGTGTGTGTCTGCTGCTCTTGGGATGTGTGCTGGGGCGCCAAAAGAAGAGTTTGTGTGGTTCATGTGCTTGAGTGTTCTCCTCCAGCTCTTGATTCTCCATCAACTCAAGTCCCCCGTTGCCTCCTCGATTCCCCTCTTCTCCCTCCCTCTCACCTCAGGTGCGCACCAGGGCAGGGCATGGAGACGTGTCCAGACGGCACCTTCACCTTCTTCCCAAATGCCGCTTCAATGCAATGAGTTCCCTCTTTCCGTGGCCCATACTCCCCGCCCTCCCATTTCAACCCCCTGCCTCACCACCACAGCTGTGCTGTGCGCCAGGCTAGGGCATGGAGACGTGTCCAGACGGCACCTTCACTTTCGTCCCCAACGCTGCTTCTCAAAAGCACCACCACCTGATCGGTTCCCCCCCGCTCTCTCTAAGTCCCTCTTCCCGTCCCCCTTCCTGCCCCCCTCGCATTACCCCATCCCATCCCTTTCCCCTCCCTCTCCCCTCAGGTGTGCGCCAGGCCAGGGCATGGAGACGTGTCCAGACCGTGCCTTCGCCTTCTTCCCCAATGCCCCTTCAATGCAATCAGGTTTCTATTTTTGTGGCTCGCCCCCCTTCCCTTACTCCCCCCCTTCCCTCACCTCCCCTCAGGTGTGCACCAGGCCAGGGCATGGAAACGTGTCCAGACGGCACCTTCACTTTCTTCCCCAACGCAGTGTCACAGGAGCAGTGCACGGCGTGTGACGACGACAGCTTGGACTGCCGCTATGGCACGCTGGAGGTGGGTGGGTTGCAGTGGGTGAGAGTGTGTGCTGTGTGAGGTGAGATATGCAACGGCATACAGGAGCAGTGCACGGCGTGTGACGATGGCAGCTTGGACCTGGACTGCCGCTCCGGCACGCTGCAGGTGTGTGCGAGTGAGTCAGTGGCGTATTGTGTGGTTGAGAGGCCTTCTATGACAAGAAGCAGGAGCAGTGCAGTGCACGGCATGTGACGATGACAGCCGTAACTGCCACTACGGCACCCGCTGCAGGTGAAGACTATTTCTGAGTCGACTCAAAAATAGACTCACTACGCGTGTGACGGTGACAGCCTTAACTGCCGCTATGGCACGCTGCAGGTGAAGACGGCCGGGGAAGAGATGTACCCTCCAACCCAACTGCCTGGCCTATTGAAATCACTTTTGGCGTCACCGTCAAAAGTGATTTCAATATTTCAGGTGAAGACGGCTGTGGACGAGATGTACCCTCTAACTGCCTGCCCTCGTTAACCTCCTACCTCCCACGCCCTTCCATCATCCCCCCCGCTCCCCTCCCTTCAGATCTCATACCAGAACTGGCTGGACCCAGCGTCTCTCAACCGCACGCCCACCACCTATGCATGTCTCCTCACTGTCCGAGGGATGCTCTGGCACCACCTATACATGTCGCTGGTGTAACCTCCAACTGTCTGCTCTCATTAACCTCCTACCTTTCACGCCCTTCCATCATCCCCCCCGCTCCCCTCCCTTCAGATCTCATACCAGAACTGGCTGGACCCAGCGTCTCTCAACTCCACGCCCACCACCTATGCGTGCCTGCTCACTGAGGGATGCTCTGGCACCACCTACACGGGCCCCAACACCACGCAGTGTGCCGTGGGATACAACAACACCGTGCCGTGAGTGTGTTCAGTGGGGTATTGGGGTTTTGGGGTAGTGGTTGCAATCAAGGCCCTGGCACCACCTATACAGGCCCCAACACCACGCAGTGTGCCGTGGGATATAACAACATCGTGCCGTGAGTGTGTGGGCAGATGGGCAGTTAGTAATTGACATGAAGGAGGGCCTGCTTTGGCACCACCTACGGCCCCAACACCACGCAGTGTGCCATGGGATATAACAACATCGTGCCGTGAGTGTGTGGGCAGATGGGCAGTTAGTAATTGACATGAAGGAGGGCCTGCTTTGGCACCACCTACGGCCCCAACACCACGCAGTGTGCCGTGGGATATAACAACATCGTGCCGTGAGTGTGTGGGCAGATGGGCAGTTAGTAATTGACATGAAGGAGGGCCTGCTTTGGCACCACCTACGGCCCCAACACCACGCAGTGTGCCGTGGGATATAACAACATCGTGCCGTGAGTGTGTGGGCAGATGGGCAGTTAGTAATTGACATGAAGGAGGGCCTGCTTTGGCACCACCTACGGCCCCAACACCACGCAGTGTGCCGTGGGATATAACAACATCGTGCCGTGAGTGTGTGGGCAGATGGGCAGTTAGTAATTGACATGAAGGAGGGCCTGCTTTGGCACCACCTACGGCCCCAACACCACGCAGTGTGCCGTGGGATATAACAACATCGTGCCGTGAGTGTGTGGGCAGATGGGCAGTTAGTAATTGACATGGAGGGCCTGCTTTGGCACCACCTACGGCCCCAACACCACGCAGTGTGCCGTGGGATATAACAACATCGTGCCGTGAGTGTGTGGGCAGATGGGCAGTTAGTAATTGACATGAAGGAGGGCCTGCTTTGGCACCACCTACGGCCCCAACACCACGCAGTGTGCCGTGGGATATAACAACATCGTGCCGTGAGTGTGTGGGCAGATGGGCAGTTAGTAATTGACATGAAGGAGGGCCTGCTTTGGCACCACCTACGGCCCCAACACCACGCAGTGTGCCGTGGGATATAACAACATCGTGCCGTGAGTGTGTGGTGTTGTTAGGCTGTGCTGAAACCGCGCCTACATGGTCCTACCAACACACACGGCACCAACACCACACAGTGTGCCGTGAGTGTGTGGGCAGTGGGGGGGGAATTATTGCAATGACGGATCAGCTGTTGTGGTGCCACGTATACATGGCCCAACACGATGCAGTGTGCCGTGGGATATAACAACTCCATGCCGTGAGTGTGTGGGCAGATGCGTTGTAATGATTGCTGCAATGAAAGGAAATCTGCTCTGGCACCACCATCTATATACATGTCTTCTCGCCAAGGGATGCCCTGGCACCACCTATACAGGCCCCAACACCACGCAGTGTGCCGTGGGATATAACGACACCATGCCGTGAGTGTGTGGGTAGTTGGGCAATTAGCAATTGACATGAAGGGTAGGCTGCTCTGGCACCACCTACGGCCCCAACACCACGCAGTGTGCCGTGGGATGCAGCAACACTATGCCGTGAGTGTGTGGGTACTGGAGGTGGTACGAAGGTACATACATGAATATACTGAAGGCACCACCTACACAGGCCCCAAGTGTTAGAATTGAACCGATAGCTTGATTAGGAATGCTGCGGGTTTACATAGTTGGATCTAGGGAAGGGGGGGTCGGTTGGGTACCTAGTCAACATTATTGGCCCCCCACCAATAAGTTGGGTTGGAGAATAATTGGGGGGTCCCAGTAATGTTGGTCAAGGTGAGTCAACATTATTGGGGGGGGCAATAATCTCCTAACCCAACCTTGGGGGCCAATAATTGGGCCAAGGTTGGGTTCCAACCCCCAACTAGGCTTAACCCTAGTTGTGCACCCACACATAGTTTGGGTGCCTATCTCTATCCTAGGGTTTATAGGATCAATGCAGGATACAGAAGAGTAGTATAATCTAACACCAACACCACGGATTGTGCGGTGGGATGCAGCAACACTGTGCCGTGAGTGCATGGGGTAGGGGAGGGGTTTGCTTGACCATAGTTTTTGGAGGAGTGACAAGGTGGTGATTGCAGTCAAGGTAAGCTGGCCCCGACACCACGCAGTGTATGATGTATGATGCATGATGCATGATGCAACAACTTTGTGTCACTGAGTGCACGCTGAGTGTGTATCATTGTTAAGTAGTGCTGCTGCAGCCGCGCCTACTAGGCCAGGCCCCTACCCTACCCACATGCCAGCACCTACGCAGGCCCCAACTCCACGCAGTGTGCTGTGAATTGCAAACAACAGCACACTGTGAGTGCATAGTGCTAAGGGGGTGTGGGAGATTGTGAAGTAGTGCTGCAAATTCCAAAGAGATGTTGATATCCTTGACCCACAATTCCACTCCCCTCCCGGCATACCCCTCATAGCAAAACCTGCTGCAAGTGCACACCCACTTGATCTCGCTCATCCCCCTCTGCTCCTTGCCCGCTGCTCCTGACCCGCTGCTCCTCACCCGCTGCTCCTCGCCCGCGCTCCTCACCCGCTGCTCCTCACCCGCTGCTCCTCACCCGCTGCTCTTCACCCGCTGCTCCTCACCTGCTGCTCCTCGCCCGCTGCTACTCTCCCGCTGCTCCTCACCCGCTGCTCCCCACCTGCTGCTCCTCACACGTGGACAACGCATACCTGCTGCTGCAGTTCTGCATTTCGACTAGCACAGCACGTGCTTGCTGCCTCCTGCCCCCCGCTTCTCCCCACTTCTCTCTGCGCTACCTCTTTTTCTTATGTGCGTGTGCTGTGCTGTGCTGTGCTGTGCTGTGCTGTGCTGTGTGGTGCCTTGCTGCGCTCTGTGCTGCGTGCATGCAGCATGTGCTCCTCATGTGCAGACGGCTACTACCTCGTGCTGCAGTTGCAGTAGGAAAGGCACCTACTGAGTCAACCCTGGCCTCCCTCTCTTGTTTGCCGTGCTGTCTGCTGTGCTGTGCGGCGTGCATGCAGCATGTGCTCCTCATGTGCGGATGGCTACTACCTCGTGCTGCAGTACTGCGAGCAATGCACGGCTGCACTCAAATCAGTGAGTCTCAACTCAGCAACTCAACACACCACGCAACGCAAACGTGAAATGAACACTCACGCACACGAACCAATTCTTCGGATCTTGCAGCTTACGCCATTTGTCAACAGCAAAACGACCTCTGAAGCTCCTCTCCCTGACCTGTGAAGTTTGAAGAGAAAGGAAAAGTTGGTTTAGGAAGTCCAGAGCTATATATGTAGCAGTGGGAGTAACGAAGTTCTTGACGTTGCAGGGTTTTTTTTTTTGTTGATTCTTAAAGATATCCCTGTTATGTCAAAGAATAGTGGGATCAGAAAGTCGAGAGGTAAATATAGTAGTGGTGGGAGAAACGGAAGGGGTGGTGGTTGGTTGGGTTCTTGGCCTGGATTATTGGCCCTCACCAATGACATGGGTTGGAGAATCAATGGAGGGCCTCAAAAATCTTGGTTAAAATTCAGCCAAGATTTTGGGGTTTCAATAATCTCTCACCTAACCTTCTAGGCTAGATAATATGGCCATGGTTCAGTTCCCAACCCCCAGCTTGGGTAAACCCTAGTTGTGCACCCAAATAAAGTATGGGTGGCTATCTCTTCCCAAGCTAATTTAGGATTCATGCAGCATACAAGAGGAGTAGTAACCTGATACGACCCACCCCCTCCCCACCAGGTGTTCCCGTGACTATTTATCATAGTGCTAGTGGTGTGGGTGGCAATGAACATGCTGGCAGACACGTTTGCAGCCATGGACATCTTTCCCACCGAGGTGCAGTTGCTCCTTCTCTCAACCCCTCTCCCCTTCTGCCCTCCCATTTCCCCCTCTCTCCCACCTCCCTCTCCCTCTTCCCCCACTCTCCTCTCCCTCTTCCCCCCCAGGTGTTCCCCCTTCTGTTCATCATAATTCTCATCGTGTGGGTGACGATGAACATGCTGGCAGACACCTTTGCAGCCATGGACATTTTCCTTATTGAGGTGCAGCTGCTCGCCATGGTCGCCAACTTCAACCTCAACTTCCCCGCCTCCTGGGTCAAGACCGTCGTGCTGCTATACAACATCGCTGCGTTTGATCCCGTGAGTTTTCCTGCCGTTGTCACTGTGAGTGGCTCTCAAAGATGGGTCAAGTCAAGACTGACGTAAGAAGCGCTGACTTTTTTGGTGGACTTCAAAATCTTGAGTCAAGATTCGAGTCATGCTACTCTACAACTTTTGGCGTGCAGACTTTGATGAGGATTTTAAAAATTTCAGCATTTCGTGGACTCAACAGTCGGTCATGAATGATGGTTGACGACGCCGCGATGGTCGAGACTTTTGAGTCGACTCAAAAGTCAACTCGGTGATGATGGTTGACAGTCATGCTGCTTTACAAGCTCAACTCAAAGAGCGGGGCAAGACCGCCGTGCTACATGTCAGTGTCTCTGCTTTCATCACAATGAGCGACCCTTGTTGTAGTCTAGTCGCAATATGTTTGGATGTGCCTAATACGAAGGCTAGAGTGCACGTACAGATGCAGCAACAAATCGTGTGTTTTGAACCCGCAAGCCAAGAAGTTCAACAGTAGGAAGGTTGGTCGGGGCGTGCATTACAATTGGTCAAGATTTTGGGTGCCAGGGTCACACTCAACCGAAGCTAGGAAGGTTGGACCAATTTGGGCTTTCTTGGCCTGCGGGTTTTAATTGCACACAGTGTTTCATTATGGCCTTCGATTGGCAAGTTGAATTTCAATTGGCCGCGCTGTTGGAATCAAGGGATGAAGGTATGGTACAGAGTTCTGAAATTAATTTGAAATTGAAATGTCTTCCCGCCTCTACAAACCCCCAAATACGAGGTTCAGGATTGTGAAAAGATTGCATGTTCTTTTCAACTACATATTATCTACCGTTTTCGCCATCTTGATGATTGCCGTCATGGTATGATCCAGGTATAGTTTATTCTTTCTTAGAATTCTAATTTAAGTCTCCATAACGAAGTTTAGGGCTTGCATTACTCCCCTCTTGCATGCTGAACGTTCGACAAACCAAAAAAGAAAGTGCACATAGCGCTCACACGGTGTGTCAACATGTGACTAGAAAAAGGGGTCTCGACACGCACATACAACACTATGGTTCGCCACACAATCTGCGTGAAATGAGCCATGTTCTGAGTTGACAAAATGAGAAGGCTCTCGACAGGCACACACAACACTATGCTTCGCCACACAAACACTGATAACAAAACTTTTTGAGCTCGCATATGATGACATTCCATACAAAACTTTTTGAGCTCGCATATGATGACATTCAACACTATGCACGTACACAAGGACAACAATACGAGTTCAAAACATGCAGTTGCACCAACAAGCGTGACAGAAAAAAATGTCGTTCCAAACTTGTTAGTAGAAATGAAAGCCCGCAAGTGGGTGGCCATTAGGATGCTCGAAGGTATACAGTACTTCGAGCAAATTAGGGTTCTTACTTGGTTGTTGGAATCAAGTGGGGTCAAAACCCCTAACTACTTATAATCAAGTGCATTGCTGCCTTGCTCCAACATGATACGAGTCTGCACCCTACTGTGTTACATGCACGCACCTCCTACCGTGAACTTTTACCCCCTGGCACTTCCTGCCGTGATTGGAGCATCAACAGTCACAAATCACCTGACCTCCCCACTTCTTATCTCTTCATTTCTCTCCCCCCTCCCCTTCTTTCTCCCGCAACCTCATCCCTCCCCGCCTCCACTCATCTTCCCCTTAGCAGGACATCATCGGGCCAGAATGCATGTCCACTTCTCCTTGCAGTTCACGGGTCGAGTTCTTTCCAGATCTCCTCTCCGCATTACATCTCTCCTCACAACTTTTTCCTTCCTCTACTCCCCCCCCCCCCCCCCTCTCCCCCCCCTCCCGACAGGACATCATCGGGCCAGAGTGCGTGTTCTCCCTGCAGTTCACGGGCAAATTCTACGCCACCCTTCTCATCCCCGTTATAGGCCTCCTCATTTACGCGCTCGTGTTTGCGCACCACCGCTGGCTGGGCGGCTCATTCTTCGTGCGCGTGCACTCGTGGCAGCGCAAGGAGCGCCAGCGGCAGCGCCTGGCGCTGCAGCGCTCTGTAACGAAGCGGCGGGCTTATAACGAGTATGAGAACTCGATTGTGCACGCGTCGCTCAAGTGGCTGGACATTTGCTACACATCTGTGATGGTCAAAGTGCTGGAAGTCTTCAAGGTGAGGAGGGCTTTGAAGTGATAAGGGTGACCATGTGATGGTGTTGCATCGTTTTTTTAGGTGCCTAAAAAAGCTCAAGTAGCTGGACATTTGCTACACGTCTGTGATGGTCAAAGTGCTTGAATTCTTCAAGGGGAGGGGGGCTTTAAGGCGAGACAAGGGTGACAGGTTTGACATGCGCATGTGATGGTGTTACTTCTTTTTTAATGCCGAAGGAAACTCCTGTGATTGGACATTTGCTACACGTCTGTGATGGTCAAAGTGCTTGGAGTCTTCACGGTGAGGAGGGTTTTAAGGTAAGGCAAGGGCGAGAGGGCTTGCCTTGAGCATGTGATGGTGTTACACCTGTTTACCTGGTCACGCTGGTAACCGCCGTGCTGCTCTCAGAAATCAAAGCCTCCCTCACTCACCCATCCCCGTTGCCCTTTCTTCCCCGTTCCTCATGCAGTCCCAGTAGATAGGCACAGCAACAATGATGGCAGCAGCACTGTTGATTCTCACCACGTACTCCCTCCCCCCACCACCACCCCTCGCATCCCTCTTCCCCTTCCCCCGTGCAGTCCCAGGACATCGGCACAGCTACAGTGATGGCTGCAGCACCGCAGATTGAGTGGCTGTCATCAGCCCACGTGGGTATGCTGGTTACCGCAGTGCTGGTTACGGTGGTGTACCTGGTGGGGCTGCCTCTGTTGTTCGCTGGGGTGTTGGTGGATGCTCATACGTGCGATGTGCTCTCCTCTACGCTCTTCAAGCAGCGCTTTGGCTGGCTCACCGAGCGCTTCCGACCCAAATTCTGGTGGTGAGTGGCGCAGTGATTATGAGGAATGGTCCTCATGCGGTAGGCCACTATTGCGAGTAGTGCTGGTTGGTGTGCGAATGTGCGAGCAGTGGGTCGGGCTTATTCCCATACCCCCGGAATTGGGTGCTGCATTGGGCTTGTTCCACAAGCCCTATTCTCCATCATCGGATCTCCCATTCCCTTGCTCTCCCTCCACGGCTGCTTCTCACAGGTGGCACCTGACGAACATAGGCATGAGGGTGCTGCACGGATGTATCCTCGTGTTCTTGCAACAAGAAACCGAGTCACAGGTAAGTGAATGGAAAAAGACCCTTAGCGCATGATAGCACTCCCATAGCCTCCCCCATTGCTTGGAATCATGCTGCTTTCTTCTATCCCATGCTGCATGGGTGCATCCTCGTGTTCCTGCAGCAAGAAACTTGATCACAGGTAATTGCTTCGATGCATACGCACCCGTACCTTATAATCACCCATTGTTTTAGGTTCCTTTCCCAAGGCAGATTGATGATGCTAAGAAAAATAGGGGTCAAAATAACTCAAAATCGTTGGACTAAGTTACTGAACAGGAATGTCGACTTCACAAGAAATGCCGTCTACAAAAAGTTGACCGTTAGAACTTCACCAATTTCAGATATATTGTAGCTCTAGACCGTGGGTACAATTCTCAATTTGAATCGCAAAAAAAACTGAAGTAAATTTTGACTTATGAATATCGACGCATTGAAGGGTATGCTGGAACTGAAACTTAACTCAAACTCAAATGTTCAACCCAGTGGCACACAATGATTTAGAGTAGCAGGAACCAGGTAGGAGAGGATGAGAGAGAAGATCCCAAGGGAGTCTCCAACCAAGGAAACCCCATAAGCACCAAAAATTCATTCCGTATAAGAACCCAACTTTCACCCTTGTTTTTTGTTAAGTTGGAAAAAACGCAAGTTTGACGTTGCGTATTGAGTTTATACGCATCTAAAATTCGTACGCTGCCTATTTTTCTAAAATTCGCCAAATTTCTCTCGGGCTGACCGGGAAAAAAAAATCAGTTGTGTTCGCGAGTATCGGAATTCAGATTTGAGATCACGAATTGCAAATGCAACCTCAGATCTGAATTTTGAAACCGTTTGGTGAATCGTCCCCTCCTATCAACCGCTCAACAACCCATTCCAACCACATCGATTACCAATGCCTTCCAATTTTGTTGCCAACTTCAACCAGACTCATCCTCCCCGCTCAATGTCAGGTCGTTTTTCCCTTCGATCCCCTTCTAATTTCACTTGCGACGATAACCTACTACAGCAGCTCCCGTTCCCGTCTCTTGACCTAGCATCTTAACCTGCCCGGGAGAAGAATTTAGCTGCCCGGGCAAGCGTTTTTCTGTGCGTACCAGACCCCCTCCGGCCAGCGTACTGCGTATAAACTCTAGCGTTTATACGAAAAGCGTAATAAACGCGAAACGCGTTTTTTCCAACATAGGTTTTTTGCCCAGCATCTCAAATCCACCTCATCCAACTTGACCACACTTGCCAACCTAGTTTGGTTTCTTCCAACCACTACAGTCGAGTGACAAAAATTCTCAGCCCCCCAAAAGTCTATTCCACATATAGAGTCACTCCACACCAATTCCCAAAGTTGTCGCATCGAAATATCAAAAGTATACGAACTTCAACCGTTCGTAACTTTCTCATCCATTCTCCGATCGCAACGATTATTGGCTCGTCGGAAAGCTCTTGAGCAGAGAAATCATTTCCAATATCTGCTAAAAAAAAAAAAAAAAAAAAAAAAAAAAAAATCACATACATTCACAACTTCCAAACCATGCAAAACATAATTCTTGCACAAGCTCACACCACACATGCAACGCACGAACATACGACGGGAGGCAGACAGACGTAAATGCCTATGGTAGCATCACACAACACATTCTCCCTCCCTTTCTTTACCCCCTCCTCCCATCCTCCTCCATAGGTCATAATATTTTTGTTAGTTCAGGCCCTCCGCATAGACACGCATTACAACACCGCCCCGCTCGCCTCGCTCTCCCTCGAGTATCTCCAAGCCTTCCTCACGCTCGGCCAGTTTTTCTTCACCCTCTCCCTCCTCTCATACAACTACCTCTCCCTCTCTCTCTTCCCCTCAACTCATGTCTTAAGGCCCCTCCAAACACGTTCTTTCTCCTTCCTCTCCACTCCCCCTCTTTTCTTCCCCTTCTCCCCTCCTTCCTCCCCCACTCCCCCTGCCTCTCCCACAGGTGATCATAATCTTGTTAGTTCAGGCCCTCCGCATAGCCACGCACTACAAGACCGCCCCACTCGCCTCGCTCTCCCTCGAGTACCTGCAGGCCTTCCTCACGCTCGGCCAGTTCTTCTTCACGCTCTCCCTCCTCTCCTACAACTACCTCTCCCTCTCCCTCTTCTCCCAAATCCTCTTCGGCTTTTCCTCCGCCTTCATTCTTATCCCCGCTACAACGCTCCTCGTTTACGACGCGATAAACAACCATTTGGAGCTCGCGAACGCGCGCATGCTACAGCGCGTGTGGCGCGCGGAACGCAAGCGACAAAAAGCCCGATTCGATAAAATGGACCCATATGATCTAGTCCCAGCGCAGGAGATCTGCTCCTGGTTCCGACCACACATCATCTTCGCGACCCTCCTTTCCAAGCGCACCGAGGAACGCACGTTGCTGCTCCGGGTTCGGGACCGGTTCGAGACGTGCCGATTGGTCGGGTTGGCACCCATGGATTGGCTGAATCATTTGAAGAAGCCGCAGCTTTATGCGGTGCTGGCGCAGGCGTTGCTGGGAGCGAGCACTGGGCATGTGACTGTAGCGAGGGTGCCTAAAGACGGGTGGTTCTGTAGGGAGCATGGCGTGTGGCATACGGCTGGGGAGGATTGTCAGGTAAGGGAGGGGTGTGGAGGTGGAGACAGTGGTTCGGGGGAGAGTGGTGAGGGGTTGGGAGGTGTGGAGAGGGGGGGGGAAGAGGGGAGAGTTGGGAGGAATGGGTTGGGTCCTCAGGCAGGGGAAGGGGTGGAGAACGGTGGCAATGGGGTTGAGAGAGGTGGGGAGGCGAGGAGAAACGGTCAGCTATCTGGATTAAACGGGCAACAGAGAGAAGATTCTGCAGGTGAATCTCAGGTGAATGCTCAGGTGGACACGCAGCAGCCACTGCTGCAGCAGCAGCAGGTGACAGGGAGGAACACGTGGTATGATCTGGATGAGGCTGACGTGTGGCCACCTCAGCTGGAGAGCCACGTCAGCTGGGCATCTGCCAGCGTGGCTGCTGCCCCATTGGAAGGACAGGGGGGAAGAGGAAGAGGCTTGGGAGGAGGGGACGGAATGGGAGGAGTTGGAGGAGGAGGGATGAGGGGGGTGAGAGGAGCAGCGTGGGAAGGATTAGGAGACTTTGACACAGCGAGTATTGGGAGTGACAGTAGCAGTGAGACTGGCAGCACGCACGGCAGCAGCAGTGGGGGAGTGACCCTCAGAAGCATGAGCAGTGGAGGAGGGGGGACCATGGGTGGTGGTGGGGGTGGGGCTGCCGCCTTTGCTGCTGCTGCTAGCAGAGCGGGACTGGGGCTCCGTGTTGGGCTTGTAGCAGCAGCAGGAGCAGGGGGGATAGGCGGAGCAGGAGCGGCAGTGGGAGGGCCGGTGATGCGAAGGACACCGTCGATTCGAGTGCAGAACCTGGTGTCGTGGGAAGAGACCCCCCATGAAGGCCTGCCGGAGCACGGGGCTGGGGGTGCTGCAGGGATGGGAGATGGAGCAGCGGCAGCGGGTGGGGCAGGGGAAGAGGCGGTGGAAGGAGCTGGGGCAGCAGCAGCTGTGGGGGGAGGGGCAGGGACGGAGGCAGGAGCAGGTGGAGGAGGTGAGAACGGAGGAGGAGGCGGAGGGGGAGGGGGTGGGGTGAACCCAGAGGCTGCTGGAAGGAGGCAGCGGATGGGAGGGTGGTGGGGAAGGGGAGCGCGAGTGAGTGAGAGGGGAGGAGGTACGGGTGCTGGTGCAGGTGCGGGGGAGGCAGGAACTGGAATGGGGGAAGCCGGGAAGCAGCAGCAGCAGCAGCAGCAGCAGCAGCAGCAGCAGCAGCAGCAGCAGCAGCAGCCCCCACAACAGCAGCAATACCAGCAGCAGCCGGAGCAGAGGGAGCGAGCGGGTGGCAGTGGGGAGGAGTGTGTGGAAGCGAGGATGAACATGGGCGCGCTGAGCCTGGCGTTTCAGAAGCACCTGGCGCTGCTGGTGCGCGCTGAGAGGACCCGCAGCAGCGAGGCCCTGCGCCTGCTCGTGTGCTCCGAGGCCGTGCCCTCCATCCTTAGCTGGCTCACCAGCGCTGAGAGGTGAGGTGTGCATTCCAAGCCTCTTTTGACTCCATTCAGAATCTGTTTCTGATTCGACTCAAAAACAGACTCACAGAGGCCGTTCCCTCCATCCTCAGCTGGCTCACAGGCGCTGAGAGGTGAGTGAGCATGGCTCGCTGTGGCTCCCTCGTGAGACGTCTCAAAGACTCTCTGTTATCACACGTGGCCAGCTGAGGCTCACCTGGCTCAGTGTTCGGAAATCCATTGCTGAGTGAGAGCATGGCTTGCTGTGGCTCCCTCAAGATAATAGAGGGTTTTTGAGACGTCCCAAAAACTCTGTGTTATCACATGTGGCCAGCTGAGGCTCACCAGGCTTGGCATTCGAAACACCAGTGCTGAGAGAGCATGGCTCGCTGTGGCTCCCTCCGTCTCCCTAACCCGTCCCATCCCCCGTCCCCTCCATCTCCCTACCCCTCTCATATGCCTGCCCCCTTCCCTCCCTCTCCTGCAGCACACGGGAGGATCAGATGCTGCTGAGGCAGCTGCTGATGGCCGTGCGAGTGGCGGCAAGTGAGGAGGCGGGGGGGCTGGACTGGTGGAGTGGCGTCAAGTGCTTCTACTCCAAACGAGTCACCTTCAAACGGGACAAAGCAGCCCCTGTGGCTTCGGCTCCCACTCCCACCCCCGCACCTACGTATGTTCTCTTTGCTGGCTGCATGCACCACACATGCACCACACCACACATGCATGCACCACACCACACATGCATGCACCACACCACACATGCACCACACCACACATGCATGCACCACACCACACATGCATGCACCACACCACACATGCACGCACCACACCACACATGCACGCACCACACCACACATGCACGCACCACACCACACATGCACGCACCACACAACACATGCACGCACCACACCACACATGCACGCACCACACCACACATGCACGCACCACACCACACCACACATGCACGCACCACACCACACATGCACGCACCACACCACACCACACATGCACGCACCACACCACACATGCACGCACCACACCACACATGCACGCACCACACCACACATGCACGCACCACACCACACATGCACGCACCACACCACACATGCACGCACCACACCACACATGCACGCACCACACCACACATGCACGCACCACACCACACATGCACGCACCACACCACACATGCACGCACCACACCACACATGCACGCACCACACCACACATGCATGCACCACACACACACAATTCAAAAACGGATGACTCAAACACGAACGGGTCACGTATGGGTGCATAGTGCTCACTCTGCGCTTATCGCATAACATGAGCCTCACACAATCTGTATGCATGTCTCTGTGCCATACCCCATGCTCACGTGCACGCATAAATCCCACGCTTACTGCCATCGCTCTTTTGACAAGTCAGGAGCGTGTGTCGTCTCATCACCTCCGTTTTTTCTCCTCCTGTCTTCCCCACCATCTCCCTCCAGCACCATTGAACTCGCTCCGGTTACCACCTAGCACCAAATCCTTCAGGCGCCTCTCAAGGCGAAGTGCTCGCCCCGGTTACTGGCTTGAATACAGCTGTGCCGAGAAGGGTTGTTGCTAAATGCCCTCAGGGAGGGCTGCTGCTAGTGCTCTGTTGTGCAGATAGCCATGTGGTTGCCCTGGAATACTGTTTTGTGTTGTGGTGTGATTGCTCTTGCACGATCCTCTGTGTGCAGTTACTGAGATCCCACCCCACCAGCTCTTGTGGGGTGTTTGAGGAACAAATCAGAACAAGCACTAGGAGGATGCTTGTACACAACACAAATACAAGGGAGGACGTTACACCTTTTCTCAGCTGTGGTTTATATTGTCATCCAAAAAACGATTTCTTGCTGTTTTCTTCCAATCTCTTCTCCCTCTGTCACAGCACAGAGAGAAAACGGGGGAGGAAAAAGAGGGGGAGACGGGGAGGTGGGGAAAGGGGGAGAGGGAGAAGGGAATAAAAGCATGACAGAATGAGGACTAGCTGGGAGTTTTTGAGAATTCTCAAAAACTCCCTGCAACGAGGTGAGGAAAGGGGGAGTGGGATAAGGGAATAAAAGCATGACAGAATGAGGACTAGCTCAACAGTAGAAGCCCCATGCCCATCCCTCATGCACCATCTCTCATGCACCATCTCTCATGCACCATGTCTCATGCACCATGTCTTATGCACCATGTCTCATGCACCATGTCTCATGTATAATGTCTGTGTATGCAAGTCGTGCACCATGCTCACATCTTGTTTCCGGCACTCCTTGTATGCGTCGAATTTGTCCTCGCACTTGCTCTTGTCGTAGCCGTTCTTATCCAAACCTGGACACAATAATAGCGGGGATGAAGTGAACGAGCTTGGACACAATCAACAACTGGCGTTTGGTGCACTAGTTACATGCTAAATGCACCTATCCCGTGATCGCGATTGAAGGTGATTTGCAGTAAAGTGTTACCGAGGTGTTACGCGTGCATGTTTGAGTTAGTACGAGATAGCTTTTCGCTACGGTGTGAAGTGAGGAGAGTGGTGACAGAAGGAGTGGTCACTAAAGTATCTAGCGTCGCGCATCGAGCGGCGGAGGTCGTACATTTTAAGGAGTCCGCGTAGTGCGCGGCGCACATGTGATCGGACATGCGACCCGTCCGACGCGCCGCCTCTGCCTCGCGTGCAGCGATGGCCGACTGCTCCGTTGAACCCGGCGCCGAATCCGCCATCGCGCGTCTCTTCAGAGTGCGAGTTACAACTGTAACTCGGGATCCTAAAAACTTTCGTCCTCCCTGGCTCCTTCGTGACGAAGGAAAGCGAATCGACAGCTGACAGTTTGAACGGACCAGTTGACAGCTTTCAGCCCGCACCACAGCGCGTTAGGCTTTCGTGAAAGCTTCTCCCTAGTTCTGCTCTCCCTCTCTGCGCCTGCGACTTCGTTTAAAAGAATCCAAGGTTCGCCAACAGCGACTGGTTTTGGATTAAAACGTGGCGAACCGCGACTGCTGTGCTGTCAATGGGAGCAGCTGGCGGAAAGCGAACGCGAAGGAGCGAAGTGAACGATTTCGAAGAGCACGCAGAACACATATGCCGGATGTTTTGCCGAAGTGAGAAACATAAATCGAGAAGAGCTGCAACTGGCTCTGGATTGTGCGAGATGCACGACAAGTTTGCGCGCTGTCTGGAATTTCGTGAGTGCTTGCGAGTTTCGTGTCCCAGCTTCATCCCAGACGTTCCAAGTTCGGACTCGCTCTGGAAAAGCAGAATTTTGAAGGACGTATTCTCCATGCAGAAATATATGCTTCTTTCTCAAGAAAAAGCAACCAGAATCTCGTTAGTCTCGTTTAGTGTTGTCGCTAAACCTTGTAGTGGGGCCAACGTAACTGGAACAGAACGTCGCGAACATTGGCGAGCGCGTGATCATCGCAACCCAGTGTTTAGAGTGTCAATCATTGAAGCACCACAAACAACTTCGGAAGTCAAATCAGCCCTCTCCTTAGTCATTGATGCATCGGGACCACGCCTGAAGCAGCTACCGAGCCCGTTACAGGCTTGGTGGAACACCTCGCTCGAGCTCCCCAAGAAAAGTACGACCCACATCATTTTGTGGTGCGTGGTTTCGATCTGAAAGTTCGATCTAGTTCCTCACGAACTGGTAACTCTGACACATCCTCCTCCTTCCTTGCCGTCGCAAGTTTTGCGCTGCTGATCCCCCACGACCCGATCGCTCACACGACCCGATCGTCGCTTTCATTCCAATTCACATGTCGCTGGTGCCACTGCTGGCTCACTCTCTGTCCATGTAGCATCAGAGGGTCGTAAGCATTGTCACATTTTAGAGTCCTCAGCAATTTTCCTGTCAAGGTATTGCATTTCTCTCCGATTGGGACGTTTGGATTTTGCCAAAGGAGGGGTTGAGTACCTTTTGGCTCCACAAAATAGAATTTCCCCGTGGCGTCGGATCGGACGGATCACGCGGAAAGCAGCTGCCGTGCCTCTGGGATGGAAGCTGATCAACTAGCAGCAGCAGTTCCCCATGTGGCACTTGCTGCTTCGGCTGAGCTCGCCGCAGGGGACGCGACTGGCGGATATACGCGCACCGATGGCGGAGCTTTGTGCGCGGATAACGGCGCGCGCGGGAATGAAGATGAGGGGAGAGGTGGAGTGAGTGGGGAAGGCAGAATAGAGAAGAAAAACGGAGAGGTAGGGAGCAACAAAGGGGATGGAAAAGGAGAAAAGCGGGATGGCGGAGAAAGGACGGAGGGCGGAGAAGGAGGGGAAGAGAGAGAGGGATTAAGCAGCGGCAAGGTATCGAATGACGCTACTAACGGGGACACGAGTGCGCAGGACGACAAGCCGCTGTCGAAGAACGCGCAGAAGAAACTGGCGAAGCGGCAGGCGATGCAGGAGCGGAAAGAGCGCGAGCGCGCGGAGGCGCAGCAGAAGCGTGCGGAGCAGCAGAAGCGCGCGGAGCAGGAGGCGGCGGCCAAGGAGGCGAGCATGACGGCGGAGGAGCGCGCGGAGGCCGCCGCTCGGCAGCGGGAGAAGGCGGAGGCGCGGCGGGTGGCGGAGGCGGAGAGGCGGAAGGCGTGGGCGGAAAAGGCGGAGAAGGGTCCGGGGCTGATAATCGACTTGGAGTTTGAAGAGCTGATGGGGGAGAGGGAGCTGTCGAGCCTGCAGCAGCAGGTGAGGGGCAGGAGATGGGCATAGGAGGTTACTGCAAGGGGAATGAGGGTTCGAGGTTTAAGGATTTGGCCGTATGGCAGCATGGTGCAAGGGGATTGAGGGTCCGGGGCTCATTATTGACTTGGAGTCTGAAGAGTTGATGGGGGAGAGAGCTGTCGAGCCTGCCGCAGCAGGTGAGGAATGGCGGGTTTAGGGTTTCAAATATCGACTTCAGTGTTGAGGAGCGATGGAGGGCTGTGGAGCCCCTCGTGTGGTTCCACTCCCAGTCAGCGCCTAGTTGGTTTTCCTACGACTTTTGAGGTGCCTCATAAGCCACTTCCCCCCCGTACTGCAGGTCGTGTACTCAACTGCTTCCCCCCGACTCCCCCATCCCATTCTACCCCTTCACCCCATCTCTTCTTCCCCCCAGGTCATGTTCTCCTACGCACTGAACCACCGCGCCCCCTCCCCCTGCCGCCTCACCCTCTCCGGCCTCCCCCCAGCCAGCCCCTTCCTGCACCGCCTGCAGCGAATCGCCGGCTTCGACAGCTGGCACGGCGTGACTGTGGAACCCCGTTCCTATATCGAAGCCTGGGCGGGCAGGGAGGGGGAACTGGTGTATTTGACTGCAGATGCGGAGGAGGAGGTGGGGGAGGTGGAAGCGGGGAAGGTGTATGTGGTGGGGGGGATAGTGGATCACAATCGGTACAAGGGGCTGACTAAGGGGAAGGCGGAGAAGCAGGGGATTAAGACGGCAAGGCTGCCAATCGGGAAATACCTCAACCTGAAAACTTCCAAGGTGGGTGTTCAGAATGGTGCAGTGCGGTGCTGTGCGATGGAGATGAGTGCAGTACGATTTAGTGTGGTGCAGTGAGATGTAGCGTGTGGTGGGGGAGATAGTTGATCACAATCAGTCCAAGGGGCTGACGAGGGGGAAGGCGGAGAAGCAGGGAATCAAGAGAGGTTGCCAATTGGGAAATGCCTGAACTTGAAGACTTCCAAGGTGGGTAAGCAGAGCGATGCAGCACAGTGTTGTGCGGTGCTGTGCAGTGCACTGCAGTGCAGTGCAGTGCGGTGAGATGTATTGTGTAGAATGGTAGACTTTTTGGACATTGCATGGACCGAGAGAACGGCAAGCTGTATGACAATTGACCATGTTGCCTCAGCCATCATTTTCACCCCTTGCACTACCTGCAGCACAGGGACTCGTAACTTGTTGCTTGTTTCCCACAGAGTTTCCCTCGTTCCCTGTTTGTTTTAACAGGTGCAAGTGCTAGCAGTGAACCACGTGGTGGACATCATTCTGCAGCACCTGCACCACAGGGACTGATGGTGATTTGTGCAGGAACTACTACCTCCGTTGCTTCTCTCACCTCACTCCACCCCGCTACACTACACTACACCCCTCTCCACCCCACCCTGCCTGCCTCCCAGGTATTGGCTGTGAACCACGTGGTGGACATAACCCTGCAGTACCTGCAGCACAGGGACTGGGAGAAAGCAGTGGCGGTTGTTGTGCCAACCTGCCATTCTGTGCTGCTGACCCATTTCACCTTATAACCATCCCCTTTGTTCGCCCCGTGCAGGTGCTGGCTGTGAACTATGTGGTGGACATTATTCTGCAGTACCTGCAGCACAGGGACTGGGAGAAAGCAGTGGCGGCTGTGGTGACAGCTTACTGTTTGCCCCAACCACTAATACCACCCCATTTGTTTTCCCCGTGCAGGTACTGGCAGTGAACCATGTGGTGGACATTATTCTGCAGTACCTGCAGCACAGGGATTGGGAGAAAGCAGTGGCGGCTGTTGTGCCTGATAGGAAGAAGACGGACAGACCGGAGGTTGACAATAATGAGAGTGATACTAGTGAAAGAGAAGCTAAGAGGGCTAAATGTGAGAGCAAAGAATGACTGCGACTGATTGTCCAGGTTCTGTTGGGCGCCTCGATTGTTTTGACAAATGTATTATGCGTCTGGTGAAAATCACTATTGAAGGAGATTCGTATGCGATGCACTGAAAAAATATGTGCAAACATCCTACTTAATCAATCATTTGAAACAAGCACGTGCTAAGTGTTGGGCTGAGATGCCCTAGGATCTTTGTAGAGTTAAAGTCTGAGTAGGATTGTAATAGCGGAAGCGTTTGAATCAGGGCCTCAGATTCACTTTGAGGCACGTAAGGGTATCAGGGTTCCTCTGCCCCTAGACCCTGATCGTCAGGGTCGTCTTGGAAAAAAGCCTGAAAGTTCAGTGTTACTTAATAAAAAAGTCTGATCTATCAGTGTCCCCCACAGAAAATGGGTGATAGCAGTAGTAATCTTTATTTTAAGTTAAAAACAATACGAAGCATGCAAACAGCCTTCAATTCAAACCAAATCCTATCTTGCTAGCAAGCAAGCTAAGCATGGAGTCTGGGAGCATTCTAATCAAAAGTCATCATCAAAAGAAGCTTGCTCGTCTGCATCGTCTCTTTCTAGTTCGTCCATCTCCTCCTCCTCTAGGACCTCCTTTCCCTTGCTACCGCTCCCCTCCCCCTCTCTTGCTGGTGGTGCCACCACATTGCCGAATGGGCGGCGCTTCTTGTAGCTGCGCCAGATCTGCACCACCTCATTGTAGTTGGGCTCATACTCCAGCAGGGACATCGTGATGAGGTCTTCGAGGCGGGCGTCCTTCAAGCTCCCCCGCTGCCACGATTTGATCACGTTCTGGCGTGAGAAGTCGCGCTCACACTCCACAGTGCTGAGCGGCAGCACGGCGACAGCCACCCAGAGACGCACCAGATTGGGGTAGCTTGCCGCCCAGTCGCTTGTCTTCAGCACTGCTGTGAGGCCGGCGAGGAAGCTGCGCTCGTTCTTTGGGGCACCAGCGAGGATGGGGCAGAAGGCACGCAACTCCTTGATCGCACGCCGCTTGTCGACCCCTGCCACATCAGGCAGAAGGGAAAAAGAGGGGAGTTAGACAGGCTGGTATACGTCTAAAACGCACAGTTGTAACATACGGTCAGGCACAAAGCGAGAGCGGGAATACCTGGAATGATGTAGTCCGTGTCCTGTGCCCTGAACAACCTCACGAGAGACTCGAGCCACTCGAGACACTGCCTGTGGCGCTCCGCTCTCCCCAGCTCCCACTCGTCGGGCATGAACAGCCGCACTCCCACCAGAGAGTCCAGGTCCTTGAACCGTGTGGTGAGGTTTTTTACGAGCGCCTCGGAGAAGGTGGTGCAGAGATCGACGCAGGCGTCGTGGGAGCCGAGAGTCGGGTAGTCGTCGTCCGGTTCCTTGTGCAGCTCGAAGGTATGTGTAGTGGGCCGCCCGTCCGAGTCGACTCCCTGCACCTTCACCTCGGGTTTGCCCCCCTCAGGTCCGTGCTTCTTGATGAATGGCGAGAGTCGCGCGCTCACACCGCCTCCAAAGTCGTCACCGCAGTCGACGTAGCGGGACTCAAGGAAGGAGATGGACCGGCGGATCTGTCCGTGAACACCAGCAATGTCCAGCTGTTGGGGGTTCAACATGGATGAAAAAGTGTGGAAGGCAGACCAACTCAGAGCTGTGGTAGTAACACCAAACATTGGAGCAAAACCAGCAACAGGGCACATATTCAAGGTTTGTACGAAACCATGCTCACCTCACGCTGCTGGAATGCCTTGTTCAGCACATTGAGCTGCTCGAGTACGTCTGCAAGGAAATATAGCAGGAAGTGAAACCTGTAGCTCGTGACGAGCTTGTACAGGGTGCTGTCCCACTCGTACAGCATCACGATCAGCGCGGGGAACACCTCTACCGCGCGCAGAATGGCGTCACCGCGGGAGAGCCAGCGGACGTCGTGGATCCCCTGCAGCTCCAGGTTCGTTTTCGTGAAGACCTCCTGCAAGCCCATGAACCGTTGATGCCACGGGCCCGAACGCCCCAAGTACTCTGCCACTTGGCGGAGCAGGGCGTCCACCATCCCGAACTCGGGGAGTTCTTCAGCGGCGGCCTTTGCGGCGAGCGCCTCCCTGCATGCACAACAACAAGCAAACCAGGTCAACTAGTGATTACCACGGGTGGCTGCGGATTCATTAAGGGGTGCAGGAAACACAACATAAGAACCCACCTGTGGGCGATGCAGTGGCTCGAGACGAGGTGCGGGATGCGCAGGCGAAGTCGTGCGACCAGGCCGTTGTGTTTCCCCATCATGACACTCGCACCATCAGTGCTTATGCCGGATATCCTCGCCAATTCAATGCCCACGGCCTGCAGGTGGGATAAGAGCACTGACAGGAGAGAGGCTGCATCGCCCTTCTCCACGGTCAGCAGGGCAAGAAACTCAGTCACGGGACGACAGTCACGGATGAAAGACGCGAAAACAATCATGTGCTTTCCAGAGCACCTGTCCGTGCTTTCGTCACATGTGATGCCTAGGTATGGGCTGCTAAGGATGTGCTGCAGTTGCGTTGTGTGCAACCACGTAGCCATCGACTGAGTCAGCTGCCCAAAGCCGTATCTGCAGCGCAGGTCAAACAACACAATGTTAGACCGGTTATTAATCTACATATACACGGTTGCAACCCGAGAAAACGGTAACTCACGTCGTGTAATAGGTACCGTAGCCCTTAGCGGGGAACCCAGGCACCTTCAGTCGCGCGAGGTAGCGCACGAGATTCACCCATAACTCTATGGGTGCATCTTGCTTGGTCACGAAGAGCAGCGAGTCGAGGAGCCTGCTGACACGCTCCTTCTCCGTGTCGCGAGCGAGATTGTCGCTGTTGATCCGTGGCTGCGTGGATGCTTCGTCGAGTAGCTTCTTCTGGTGTTTCAACGCCTCCTTGTGCTTCGTAGTTGCCGCATGCCGTTTGAACGCCTGCGTCTGAACGTCTGTGGCGCCCTTTCCGCCTCTCCCGCACGGTCCAGCGTAGCCTGCATGCTCCGTACAGATCCTGCACTTGAAAGCAGGGAAACCGTCAGCCTTTTTTAGCAGTATGACCCAAGGAAATCGTTCTTGCCACTCGCTCTTGTACTTGTACAGAGCCTCGGCGTAAGTTGCGTCTGGCCCTGCTGGTTTGGAAGGCCCAGGTTTAGAAGGCCCAGGTGTTGAGGGCGACGCCTGCGTGCCTGCGGTCGCGGGCGTCGACCGTTGGTCGGCTGGCGAAGCCGGTGCTGCTCCAACGGTGCCTCCCTTCTTGCCCCACGGAATCGTTGACTGCATGTACTTGGCGGACTTCTTAGCCACAGGTACCGCCGCAGATTCTTCACCTGCAGGGTTGCAGCTGTCTTGCTCCAACACGGGCGCAGTTGGGGAGGGACACAGCGGCTCGTCGATTGGTTCAAACGGGATGTTGACGGTCGGCGCGACTGCAGGAACCTTTCCATGGTTATCTACTGCCGCTAAGCTGGAGAATAGCAGATCGAGTCCGGTAACTGCCGCAGACAGATCGATTGGCGAACGACGAGCGGGTTCATCGTCGTGGTCATCAGGTCGTTCAATGGCGTCCGGGTGGTCCGCCATTGGCTGCAGCGCAAACGAGCAGCATCTAACGGCACTACCAAGCTAGCCTAACGGAGGTTTGCCAGGAAGAGAGAAAACACGGCTGACTGCCTCTTGGTACACCACCAGGCAGCAACACGTTGAAACCGTACCCTTGCTAGATGGAAGGAAAGCCAGGAGCAGGCTGGGGTGGGAGATTGGATGGCTGGTAGCACAGCAGGGCGGCGTGGATGCATCCGTTCTTGCCAGTACGTCTTCGACAATCCGGGCCACAGGGCCACAGGTCCACATGTGCATCACATGGGCCTGAATCTCTCGTTGCTCTGCAACCCCGTAATTGGCCAAATCAGGAAATGCTGTCGAAGTGGCCAATCATCGCAGCACGCGCGCCAACAATGCATCCCTGGTCGAGGGCAAATTTGTCTTCTACTCACCGCCACGCCCTGCTGACACCGCGGGAATCTGATATTCCTAGTACAGCCGGGCAACTACACTCGGCCTGTGTAGGAATCGCTTTCAGGGTCGGATTCGTTACAACGTAGTGGCATCAGTGTCACTTGGAAAAAATTGCTGAAATTTCAGAGTCATGTGCTAGGTAAAGGCTGAAAAATCAGCCCCACTAAAAGCTGAACACTGGAAAATCAGGCTAGCCAAAAAAAAAAACCCTGGAAATCAGGAATTTCAGGGAAAAATTCCTGATATCGTAGGCCCTGGTTTGAATAAAGTCCTTGAACCACCTTGCGCTAGTATGTGAGGGCAAAGTAAGCTGATTAAAACAAGCAAATACAAGGCTTTATATAAGAGTACAAGGAATACGAATAGATATAATTAAACTGTTTTGCTGTTGCGATTCGATACAGTGCGACTCGGGCAACTGCTCAATGTCGAGTCAGTTGTGTGTCCTTGCTGTCGCGCTGTATTTTGTCAAGTCAAAGGTCGCTGACTTTTGACCTTCGCGTAACCTCCAGGCGGTTACCCTAACCTCCGAGGGTTGACTCGCGATGCTTCGATTTGGACTGCTTCGCTTGTGTCCTGAGTTTCGACACGACAGAGGCGCTTTAAGACTTATTGTTCCCAACACTCCCCTTCGCTTCTGGAGTGTCGCTAATGGTGACGTGGCCTTGTCCAGTCAGCAGCATGCATTACTCGAACTTCTGTTTTCCGAGTTTCTTGGTCAAGTAATCGGCTGCCATCTCGGACGTGGGACAGTAGGATAATTCGAGTTTCCCTTTCTCGATCTCGTCTTTCACGAAGAAGTATCGCAGAGCGATATGCTTCGTTCTGTTCGCGAATCCGCTTTTGTTGGCGATGCGAATTGCAGATTGGTTGTCGCAGAATAGGGTGAAGCTGGGTAACTCGGCTAACTTTGCTTCTTCCAGCAGCTCGCGAAGGTAGAGTCCTTCCTTGGTGGCTGAACAGAGGGCGATATATTCTGCTTCAGCTGAAGA